TTGCTATGTTCTTTTCTGTATAAATATTTATATTCAATAAGAACAGTGATGGAATTGAGAGTCCCCAAAACTATGTGAAACTGAACAGATTACTAGGCACTGTGACCTCACCTACATTTTTCAATTTTGTCATTTTAAGTACTTACTCCCATCAGCAGAGAAAAGATCCATGTTCTGTAACTAAAGCAAGGATGCAGCCTTTTTGACAGCTGAAGGTCACTTGATTTGATATCTGGTATATAATTTCCATTCTCTTGTTTTCCTCGCTCCAAAGTTGGCATCCTGTCATAGCTAAATTCTTCTCTGTAACCTTCTTCCCTAGTCATAACACTTCACAAAGGAAATTAAGTAATAATAATAATGGAAATGCAAATGATGGAGAAAGACGAATAATATAATTTAGATCCTTCACATACTCACATCAGTGCTCAACTAGGTTTTTGCCTATTTAAGATAAAATAAATAAAAGCAGCATTTAGTAATGAGCTGTATTTACATTTCAAAATATGTAAACACTCTTAACAACCTACTTGCATGCAGTAAGTAAATTACATCCCATAGCCACAGCTCCTAATAATAGAGTATAAATACCAACAAAAGGGAAGTTTGTGTATCTATCATATCTCAACAGACTTTTATTTCCAGATCTAAGACCCATTTTTGGAAGTGTAACTCTGTAGCCAAAGCTTTTTATTTTTTTCCTTTTTTTTTTTTTAACTCTAAGACAGAAAACATATTTAAACATGTTTAGCTATTAACTTGTATTTTATTTCAACACTTCTTATCAGGTATCTAAAATTACAGACTTTACTGTGAATCCAGTGAACTCATATGTTCACAATAGCTCAATTACAGCAAACTTTTTCTAATTTACCCAGTATCAATCATTTTTCATGTTCACTTCCCCCTTTTTTGACCATCTCACTGCTTGCCAACCTGTTCAAATACCCTGAGTTGTATCTTAAATTAGAATTAAGCTACCACAGATTTTTCAACAGTTAAAACCTTCATGCTTACCTTCAACTGAAAAGTTAACTGTCAGTCTAAAACAGTCTTGTGAACACAGCTGCCTGTACACTTTGTGATATTCTCACCGTTCAGTGAGTCATGCCGGCTTTGAAAAGTTCTCCCTTACACTTTGGCTTTCAACAACGTCTATTCAGATATGGAACAAAAGCACAGCAAAAACTTCAGTTAAGCCAGGGAACAGGAAAATGCCTCCTGAATTTTAATTAACAGAACACACTAGAAAATGACTGTACTACATTCTCATAGGGCTCTTTCCAAATCAGAACAACACATTTTAAAAGTTTCAAGTCTCTTTTTTATTTGAGTACTACCCCTTACTTGGTATCTTAAATAAAACCTCCCTCACAATTTACCATTTTAGTTATTATAATAGCCAGTGATAACAATATTGAACAATATGGTTCTTGTTTCAAATGAGTAGAAGCTACTCACAATGCAGTATTCTCACAGAATGAACTACAGATAAAAATCAAGTATTCAAGTATCCCAAGAAGTTGGGAAGTTAGAAAGAGGACAGAAATCTATCAAGAATAGTATCTTCACTGTAGAACTCTTCTTCATCTTTTCTTACTAACCCTAGTGTTCAGATAAACCCTGCACACTTCAGTTGTGCTGACATTCATACTTAAGAGAACACCGTGATGACTAAACAATGTATTTTAAATCTAGCAGGCAGCAGTGACATGCAATGGCCAGCGTACATTGGATCCAGTCCTCCTGCTTATTAGGCAATGAAAAAAAAAAAGAAAAAAAGAATGCTTTTATCCTGAAGATGTTGGCATCTAGACAGCTACAGCAATGACAGGGTCTTTTGTATAAACTTGAAACACTGTTGTAACCAAGACACAATTAAATCTGCAGTGCTCTGAAGGGCATCACCTTTAAAGGATGCTAGAAAAAATTTAAAACTACTTCTCAATTTGTACAAACTGTAGATTTTGCTCTTCTCATCATGTCAGTCAATACTGAAGAATTTTAAAGCGTTACAGTTGTTTTAATATACTGAAACATGGAAATTAATACAACATACACAGCACTAGAACACAGCTGTAAACTGTGTTAGAAAAGGGGAAGAAAAAAGAGACCGTAGCCAAGCAAAAGTGTCTTAAGTAATTAAGCCCTTCTGTTCATGGAAGAAACACCATGCAATACTTTCATTATCTGTAACTTTTCAAAGCCTACGATTTAATGGAAATTGGGTAACACATCTTTTTCAAGAAATGCTAGGAGCCAGTTTACTCTAACATATATTACCATAGATATAAAACAGGATCATATTTTACCCCTTTTGACCAATTTAGGGAGATCAACTTATTCTTACACAAAATTGGTAATATATCCAATTATTTAATTGATCCAATTTATTTGAATAAAAATAATGTATTGAGTCCTGCACCACAGAACAGAGAAGGGCTCAAACTCTATAAATTTTTGTTCACAATTCCAAGTGTTTCAGCCAGCATCTTATCTGAAAGCTCCCTCTCTCAAGCATGAGCTTTTGCTCGTTATGTTGAAACTCCTTTTGCTCTCTTTCCTGTGCACTTCTCAGTATTTGCTATTATTCTTTTTGCCCAGAAGTTCACCACACAATTACTGTACCCTCTGCATTTGACAACAGTGTCAACAAAAACCACTTAAAGCTTCACAGTTCGGTTTCTACTCTAAAAAATTTCTGGGGCCCTTATTTTAGGTTCCCTCAATTTCATGTTCCTGATACCATATTAAGTTTTGGGTCATTTTTGTGCATACACAACTACAAAGCAAGATTTTGTAGCTAGAGCCCAAGTCCTAGGCCAAGACCTTACAATCCTCAGTAAGGTACAAAGCTGCTGTAAAGATTCCTCCCGATTCTAAAGGGTGCACAGGAAACCTGCACAAAGACTGCAAGAGACCTAACAACACCAGTAGAATATTACAGGCTTCTGGAAAAGATTTACAAATTGTGTTTTTATTCTAAGTTAGGCCAAAAGACATCAAGCTATGACAATCAAATCAAATCAAATCACGAGAGGCTATGAAGAACTACTTACTTCAACTGCTGAAATGACCACTGCAGATACAAGGTCATTTGCCAGGGCTGTGACACATGAGCATCCCCCACAGTGACCACAAAAGATAATAAAACAGATTGACAATTATAACTGATCTGCCAAAGGACAATATGATTAAAAAGCACATAAACTTGTCATAGTCCAACTTTTGTATCAGTAATTTATAAAAATGTCATTCTGTCCTAGAACAGCTTCCCTAGCACTGAACCCAGGCTCATGCCCCTGTTCCCAACACTGAATACCAAAGAATAAAGCTCCTAAAGCTCTGTTGAGATTTATTTTTACCATGCTTACTAACTCTTCCTTTTTCTAGTGAGTTTGTATTAGTTATAGTACCTATGCGTTCTTTCACACAATGTTTAATTGTATTATTTTAACTCATTACCTGTATTCTTTGTTCAGTACTTTCAGCTCTTTGAAGTGTTTTGGTCCTCTGGAGTTGATTCCCCAGTCCTTGTTTCCTAGCTCATGCCTTGGGGCATATACTGAACCAAGAGAAAAATGTAGGCCTAACAGCTTCAAAGGGATGTCTTGCTCCCCTGGTATAATATAAACTTCTTTGGATTTAGTCCTTCACATGAATCATCATCTGAGAAGTTTCAATTGGTTCTATCAGTATATATACTACCCATTGTATGCTATTACAATACAAAATACTTCTAGTTTTATGGATGTCATAAACGCATCGTGTTAGTATTTGAATTGAATGAAGTGTTTTTTTCTGCCTAGGCCATTTTCTTGCAGTAAGATTCCTGAGAAGCAAGGATTGCAGTAAGATTCCTGGCAAGACTGTTACAAACTATGTGATTTTGAGACAGCAATTCATGCATGTACAACCACTCTCCTTCTCCAGAAACAGTTTCTTCACCTGGCACTTATTTGCCAACCAACGCTCCTCTGCCTGTACTCCACAAGAATCTTAGTGCAAAAAAAAAACAGTTCAAATGCTTTAAATGAATGCATCTAAAAGCAAAGGCTGTCACTCCCTCGGCGCTTTTCTAAAAAGACTAGAAACACTCATACATGGTTCTCAAATAGCAACATCTGAGTTACTTCAGAGCAAGATACTGGAGCCTGTGTGTAATTACTGGCAACCAGAATTTCTTCTAGTCTAGGAACCGTAAACCCTATGAAAGTGTTAAACAATCTGCAGTGCACTCCTGGCCCTTCTTTGCCTGAATAAATACTGAGCTAACCAGAAAAATAGAAAACAAAAGGTTGCCAAAACCAGCTGCTACTCTAGTCGCACAGCCTAGATCATGCTGCCTCTCTACAACAAACAGCCATGAAGTAGCTTCCCATGAAGTCTACTGCTCTGCCCAACTTCTGAAACTACCTCTTGTACGTCGTATGTGCCAGTTCCCATGGAAATTACTGGATGCTGAGCTGATCCACTCACAAACTGCGTTTTGTGGAACACCAGGTGATAAACAGAATCTAAAAGGGACTTGCACAAGATGCCTACAGTGTGTTTCATGAAGGGAATTGGTAAAAATATAAACTATGGAAACGGTAACCAACCGTCACTAAAAATGTACTTCCTCTAGAGCTGTAGCAGTTCGCGTATTTTGGAAAAAAAGACACTTTTTCTGCCAACCAGGTTTAGTGTTCCAGAGCCCGTTCCACCTGCGGCTGCTGAGACGCTAACAAGCCA